CCAAAGAGTGACCAGGGCGAGCTCTGAAGGGCAAACACGACCTGTACCCTCCGCTTAAACCCTCCAAGGCGCCCCTCTGCCCCAGCACAGAAGCCAAACTCAGTGACAGAGACGTGTGACATGCCCCCTGCCCACCTCTCCAGCCACAGACAGACTCTCCTGACCTTTCTGCCTCGGTGCTGTGGATCTGACTGTGGTCTACACACACACACGCACACACTCACTCACACACACATGCATGCACACACTCACACACAGACACACACACTCACACAGACACACAGACACACACAACACATACTCACACATACATACACACACACACAGAGACACACACACACATACATACCCACATACACACCGAGACACACATACACACACATACAGAGACACACACATACACACCGAGGCACACATACACACACATACAGAGACACACACATACACACCGAGACACACATACACACACATACAGAGACACACACATACACATGCTAACACATAGCACACTGCTAGCACACTGGCCTGGCTGACTGAACACCAGGTCTCTCTGTCTCTCTCTCTCATTGATTTCAGAGAGGAAGGGAGAGAAACAAACATCAATGTTGAGAAAGAACCACTGATCAGCTGCCTCCTGCATGCCCCCAATTGGGGACGGAGCCTGCAACCTGGGCATGTGCCCCTGACCAGAATTGAACCTGGGACCCTTCAGTCCACAGGCTGATGCTCTACCCATTGAGCCAGCCCAGCTAGGGCACCAGGTCTCTTTTAATCCGTACCACCTTTGAGGGGCCACTACTTTCATCTATGCTTTAGTCAGGAGGAAGCTGAGGCATAGAGAAGGTAGGTGACTGGGCCAGGATGTGTGTCTGGTGCCAAACTCAAGTGTCACTTTCCCTGTGAAGCCGCCCTCAATGCCCCCTTCCCCTCCCCCTGCAGCCTCCTGTGTTCACACACCACTGCAGAGAGCCCTCGGACTGGGCACCCCTTGCCTGTCCAGTCCCTGGATGCCCAATGTCTGGTCTCAGCTTAGAAACTATTGGTAAATGTGGGGTGAGCTTGGGGCATAGAGAGACACTCCATCCCTCGCTCTCTAGAAGCTCATACTCTGGTGGGAAACCTGACCCACAAACAGTCCAAGACCCAAGGGGTTAATGTCCCAAGAGAGGCCCAAAGAGCCGGCAGGGTCACCGGCTCCAGTGGACAATACTGTGCTCCCCCCAGCGGAGTTGGTTGGGCAGGGTCCCCAGAGGGGTCAGCCTGTGTCCTGGGCCTTGATGGATAGAGGAAATGCCAGTGGCTGAATGGGGCACACGCAGGCAGGAGAGCTGGAGAAGGATTCCAGGCTGTCGGAGGCAGACCGGTAGGAAAGCAGGCTGTCCCGCGAGGGCCCAGAGTTCAGTTGTCTACAGACCCTACCAGACAGCGAGCTGCGGGAGGGCAGGGCCAGCTCTGCCCGATGCTCCATGGTGCCCCCTGCCAGCACCGGGCGCAGCGCCTGCACATAGTGGGTGCACAGAAGGATTGTTGGAAGCAGGCCTCACGGGGCATAACGTTTTATACAGTGTGGTGCCCCTACTTAAGAGAGTGCTAAATTCCTAATATACATGTCGGCACAAAGTGGGTGTTTATTTGCCACAAAAATAGGAAGCTGCGCAGCAGAGCTGAGGCGCCCGCAGTAGCGACACTGTTAACTCCCCTCTGGCCAGAATATAAGGAGGGGGAGGTTCTCGGAGAGGAGGGGCACCGCCCACAAGGGCAGCCTTTTCTGTCAGCCCCAGAGGCCCAGGTTCAGAGCCACCTCGCCACCCTCCCAGGCAACCCACCACAACCAGGCCTCGGTCACGCTTCTCGCTTCTCTTGCCTCTCTGGCTGCATAAAGGCCTGATTCTCCCAGGTCAGGAGACTTCCTCCCCCTGGAGGGTAGCCAGAGGGTGAATGTGGGCGTTGAGAACTGTTTGCTGGTCACCCCCTGGCGACCTTGGGCGCTCCTCCCTGGGGCCTCGGGGTCATGGAGGGTCTGTTCTGAAAGCCTTCTTTTACTCTGGCCTCTGCTCCTCTGGCCCACTCAGGGGTCTCTCCCAGAGGATCTCTCTGAGAGCCTCATTCATCTCCCCATGCCCAGGTCCCCCGGGGCCAGCCAGCACTCAGCTGGGTGGGGGTGGGTGGGAATGCTCTGCCACAGAGGTGTGAGGCCAGCTAGACCTGAAAGGCATGATTACAGAGCCTTTGAGCTGAGAGATTCTATGCCAAAGGCAGACTTCCTGGAGGAGTCCAGGCAGTCTTCTTAGAGGAGGAGACATGTGATCAGAGAGACGGAGCATTCGTTCCATAAGTACTTGCTGAGTCCTTCCTATGTGCCAGGCTCCGAGGATACAGCAATGAAAAGGCAGGTGGGCGTTTGCCCCAAAGTTTCTTCCCTTCAGTCCAGCAGGGAAGTAGGAATTGACTCAGGAGAGAAGGGGAACACAGTCCCCCAGACAAGGGGTCAGCAGGAGCAACCACATTCGGGGGAGAGATGGTACCCTGCTTGTGGATGGAGCTGACTTTGGTATGAGGGGAAAAGGAAATTATCAGAAGATGAGGCTGCTTGGCAGAGAGCAATAATGGAGAGCCTGGGACACCAGGCGAGGGACTTATAACTTAATCATGCTGACAACTGGGAGCCACAGAAGGTTCTAAACAGAGGGAGAAGTTACAAGGTTTCTTTTATAAAAAATATTTTTTAATTGATTTCAGAGAGGAAGGGAGAGGGAGAGAGAGATAGAAACATCAATGATGAGAGAGAATCATTGATCGGTGCCTCCTACACACCCCACACTGGGGATCAAGCCCGCACCCTGGGCATGTGTCCTTGATCAGAATTGAACCCAGGACCCTTCATTCTGCAGGCTGACGCTCTATCCACTGAGCCAAACCAGCTAGGGCACAAGGTTTCTTCTTTTAAAATATATTTTTATTGATTTCAGAGAGAAAGATGGAAACATCAATGATGAGATAGAATCATTGATTGGCTGCCTCCTGCACACCCCCTACTGGAGATGGATTCTGCAACCCTGGCATGTGCCCTGACGGGGCATTGAACCATGACCTCCTGGTTCATAGGTCGACGTTCAACACTGAGCCATTTTGGCCAGGCAGGTTTCTTAGCGCCATGACCAAGCTCAACACATAAGACCAGCGCAAGTTTCCTGGGGCCAGCCTGCCCACCGCCGACCCTGGTTTGGCTAGGAGAGGGCACCCCCCAGCCTGGACTTCAGCCTCCAGCTCCAGCTCTTCCTTGTGCTTCCAATCACACTCAGAGGCTGGTGTACTCTATAGGGAGGAAGGGACAGAGTGTCTGGGTCCAGGACTCACTAGGACTTAACCCTTAGCCATACAGGTCCCACACCGTTTGCCTTTTGTGGGCTTTGGGTGTGTTCATGCTACCTGGTTTCCCTACAAATTTCTGTCTTTCCCATATCAATACCTGGCATAAAACTTCCCAGGATACCCTTCTGACAACCAGTGAGTCCAGACTCAGGGTCTTCAGGACTGGGGCCTCAGCATGACCTTGCTGAGTTCAGGGTCAAGAGCAAGACCCCAGCAGAGTCCTTGGCTCCTGGAATAAAATCCGAAGTCCTTTCTGTCTGGCCCCGTCTGCCTCTTCACACTGCCCCGAGAGCTCCAGTCTCGCCAAACTTGTCTGGTTCTCCAACAGAGCAACGCTCTCCCTCACTTCCAGAGTTTTGCCTAGACTGACCTCTCTGCCCAGAGCACTGCCCATTCCCTGAGGTTCCCTCCTAACCTGGCTAACCCCCACTTCTGAACTGCCTATCGCTCCCTCAGGGAAACCTCTCTGAATCCCCCAGAATAGGCCAGGGGTCCCCAGAGGTGTGCTGTCAGATCCCATGCCTTTGCACATGCTGTTTCCTCCATCAGGAATAGACTCCCTCCATCCTCTGGAGCCTGGTGCCTGCCCAGTAGCAGCATCTTTATTGCCCTTTTACAGGTGAGGCACCGGAGCCTCAGAGAGGCCCAGTGACCTGTTCAAAGCCACACAGCTGTGCCTAGAGTGCTACAGTGAGAAGTGGGAACTATCCTGGGCCAGCTTCATGGTTTTGAGAACATCATTTGGCCTCTCGGTGCTTCAGTGTCCTCACCGGTGAAATGCGGCGCCTCTGCCTAAGGTTGTACTGTGTGAGCCTCCATTCCTCTGCTCCCCAGGCCTTCCTTCAACTTTCACTGCCCGCTCTGTGCCCCGCCCTGAGCAGGGTCCTGGGAACTCGGTGGGTACGAAACAGATACAGCTCCTGCCCCAAAGCGCTTGGGGGGACGGAAGCAAAGGGCAGAAAGGTCACTCACAATCCGCTGCTGATAATGACGTTCCTCCCCGCGTATGGGGCCGAGAAGGGGGAAATGCTTAGTAACAAAGATCCTCTCTGTATTTTTCAAAAACTTAGTTTTCACCGCTTCCTGAAATCTGGATATTGCACAGCATCCAAGGCTCACTCGCTTCCCCACGCTGAGCCCTAGAAGCTGGGAGGGTGAGGAGTATCGTGAGGGCCGTCTCACAATTCGGAGGGCTCCACTCATCCTGGGGATTCCACTACCTGGGGTAACGCACCTCCATCCCGTTTCTTTCCCTACCTCGACTCCTGTCCCATCGCATGACTCCTTCTCCCCTACAAGGCGGTCTCCACGCCCCGGTCCCAGACAAATCAGTCCTTTTCACTTCTCCCTCCGCTTCACCTCGCCCTCCATTCAGGCCCCCAGGTCACCTTCCCTCCCGCTCCGCTCTTTAAACTGCCCAGCCTCCCATTGTCCTCCCTCCGGCCTCACTGCTCCCTGTTGGCCCCGCCCTCTCCAAGGTAGAGTCCGAGTCCCGCAGAGCCCCGCCCTCCTCCCACTCTTCCATTGGCTCCTGCCCCCTGACGGCGCGGGCGGAGGGAGGGCACCTGGAGAGCGCCCCGCCCCCTGCCCTGGTCCGGACGGTGGGTGGGGCCTCGGGTGACTCCGCCCCCTTCGGGCGGGGCCGCGCCTGCTGGCTCTGGGGCGCTGGGCGGCGCTGCCCGGGCTCCGCGCTGCTCGGCCCGCAGCTCCGTGTTGGTGGGCGACCGGTATGACAGCGGCGGGGGCGGCGGCGGCGCGGGGCTGAGCGCGCGGCGTGGAGCCAGGGAAAGAGGAGGAAGTGGAGCGCGGCCCGCAGCTGCGAGTCAGCCGCCGCGCCGAGGTCCGCCCCATTTTGCCGAGCGAGCCGAGTCCGGAACCGGGAAGACTTCCCCGCCGGGCTCCGGCCCCCGCAGCTCCTCGCCGGCGTCCCGACCAGCCCCGCCGGCCCTGGCCCCGGCATCCGCCACGGGACGCTTCCAGCCCCACGGTCCGGGGCGTCGTGGCCGGGACTCCCGAGCGCACGACCCTGATTGAGTGCACCTGGGCGGGACTCCCGCTCCTGGCCCACCATACGGGGCCACGGTTGCGGGCTCGTTCCCAGCCTTTTGCAGCGGGTGTCTGAGCCCTCCGCCCGGGGATAACGCACGCTGTCCCCAGGACCCCGACCGAGTGCACGGGAGCCCGGACACCCTCAGCCTCTTTCCCCGAGACCTGGACCTTCAGCTGCTCCGACCCGGTGCTTCGGACTTCCCGGCGGCGAGCGCCCAGGAAGCCCCTGCCAGGGTCCAGCGCCCCCTGAAGGGTCCCAGGCGGGTTGGACAGTCGGACTGAACCGGACCCGGGTGGTCCTGCGAGCCGAAGCTGCCACGTTCCTGCCGACCTAGGCGAGGGGCTTGGTGCTTTCCCCGAGAAGACACAGGGTCCCCCCCCTCCCCCGCCCCGGCGGCCGGCGGGAGCCAAGAGCTGCAGGTGAGAGCCTCCGGGATGCCGGGCTAAGCGGCTTCCCAACCCATCGGGGCAGCGACCGGCCAGCTGCGGGCGTGTGCCCGGCACTACCTGAGGCTGGAGGGGCGCGGGAAGGGAGGAGGGAGGGAGAAAACGGGCACTTATTGAGCGCCCATTGTGTGCGTGTCCGCGCTCCACCCTTGCGCAAGTGGTCCCTCATTAAGCCTCACTGATACTCGATGAGATAAAAGGTGTCGTGTAGTGTTACAGGGGCTTACAGATCGGGAAACTGAGGCTCAAGGGGGTCGCGTGACCCACCCTGCTGTTTTCACTCTGGGGGTGAGGCTGGGAGGAGGGTTAGGTCGAGGTGGAAAGAAGCAGAAAGTGAGGAGGAAAAGACAGGAAGTGGATAGCTGCGGGCAGGATGGTGGAAGCGGTCAAGGTGGGGCCGTTTGAGACACCCTAGAGCTGATCCTGAGGCCGAGGAGGTAGGTCTGCTGGCTTCCTTCCCTCCCATCTATGGCCTGGCCACCTCCCAGGTCCAGGACAAGGAGTTAAGGGCAGAGGTGGGAAACTTCCCACCCTCACAGCTTCCCCTCTGTGGGCCTCTCTCTCCTGCCCCAGCCTCCAGGGTCTCGAAGGCACCCTGTAGGTCCAGAGGCTGAGCTTATGTGTTGGGGAGACTCACTGTGGGGGTGCCCCTGTCAGAGCCCATCATAGCCAGAGAAGGTGAGGCCCCTCAGCTCTCACCCAGCTCACACCCTTCACATGACTGACACGGTGCGTGGGGGAGGCTGTGGGGTGAAGGTAGGGTGGAGTGTGTGTGCCAGCTGCCCCAGGTCCTAGAGCAGTGAGTGAGTGAGTGAGCCGAAAGTCCGCTTGAGGAAACCTTACCAAATACCCTGCAAGGTACCCCCTCCCTCTCCCCAGTGAGTGGCTAGGGTTTTTCCTACCCTGATGTGAGGTCAGAGTGACCACATATGACGCTGTGGTGAGAGCCTGTGTGGTTGGTGCAGGGGCCCTAGGCATGCCAGCAGCTTCCTAGCCTTTGGCCCAGACTAAAGATCTGACCTTAGCCTCTCCTGGCAGGGGGCCCTGCGAGACACCTCTGACCCTGGCAGGGAGGGCTTGTTCAAGGGCTCAAGGCTGGGGCTGCCGGGGCTGAGGGCAGTGTCCCAGGTGTCTGGATTTCCAGGCAGGGGTTCCTTCTGCTCCCCACCCTCCCCACCCCCAGGGCAGTGCAGGGAGAGGGGTGTTGTGAAAGAGGGCTTGGCGTGGATTCTGTGGGCTCTTGTTCTGGGTGGGGTGGGGGAGGGGACATGGCCTTGGTCTGAGCCCTGTGGCCTGGGCTGGGACTCTTTAACCCCTGCTGTGCCCAGCTTCCTGGGGTGTAGAGGAAGCCACCTGGGAATGCCCCTGGGAGGTGGAGAGGTCAGCGAAAGGCTGGAAGCTCAGTCCCTGGGGGTCTGCAAGAGGAGGTGACAGAGGGGCTTGGGATTCCCCCCCAATCTTTGGAGATTCAAATTCTCCTAATAATCCTGCCTCTAAACAAAGCTCCTTGTTAATGACTTCATTTCACACCCGTGATCTCATTTCACGGTGTGATGGAAAGAACCTGGAATGAGGTGAACAGGGTTGGGGAGCCACGTGGGACCTCTCAGATGCATCCATGGCTTCCCAGCCTCACCTGTAAAATAGGGTCAAGGCAGGCTGGCCTTATCTGTTCAGATAATGAGGCCATGATATCTGGCAGACTGTCAAGTGCTAAAGAGGTTGTGCGTGTGTGTGTGCCATGGCTAGGATTGTTATTAATGGCTACATTGAGTGGGGAACTGAGGCTCAGAGAGGCGAAACCACTTGCCCAGGGCCTTTGGGTTTGCTTCAGTGACTGAGTGCCAACTGCATACCAGGTGCCCTGGAAGTTACCCAGATGGAAAAGGCAGTGTGATGACTAGCTCACAACCGGGTGGGCGAGTGGCACAGACAGATAGTGAGACAGACCAGGTGGGCGCGAGTGCGCTCTGCCTCCCACTGGCCATGTGGCATTGGGCAAATCCCCTCCTCGGAGCCCCAGCTTCTGCTCTGTAAATTAGAATTCCTCCTCCATGAAGTTGTGTGAGGATTAAGTGAGATATAAATATATAGCGCTTGGCAAAATGTCTGTTTCCTTCCCTGTAAGGAAGGAAGCTTGAATTTTGACCAGGAAATCTGGGAACATTCTCGGGCTTGCTCTCCGGTGCCACCTTCCTGGTCTCAGAGTCCTCTGGAACCTGCTTGGGGACCCTGGATTCTGACCCCCACCCCCACCCCAGGGCCAGGGTTGTGGGAGCTGGGACTCATTCCCTCTGGCTCTTTGTCTGGCCTCCCTTAGGCACAAAGGTGCAGTGAATAATTTATGGGTCCCCTCACACCGAGAGGCAGGCTCAGAGAAATTGCTCTGTGCCCAGATGAGCTTCTGAGCTCACCCCAGAGGAAGGGGTCGTTCCGTTAGTGCTATATGAAGTCTTGGATGTGGGGGGAGGGAGGCAGGACAGGAAGAAAGTGACCTGTTATCAACCCGGGCCCTCTCCAGTGGAAACCAGGCTAGCTGGGCTAGGGTCAAGCTGTGGGCCTCTGATTCCAATGGGTGATGAGAAATGGCAGGGAGAGGCCCATGACAATGAGTAACCTGGGAAGGCTTCATCAAGGAGGAGGGTGTCTGGGTGGGGGCTAGAGGCAAATTGCTGTAGAGAGCGGGGGTCCTGACATCAGCTGAAGGTTGAATTCTGGCTGTGCTCCTTACTCACTGTGAGACCAAGCAAGACACCTGGCCCTGCCAGGCCTCCCTCTGCTCCTCTGTAGAATTAGGGTTAGTTATGGGTGTCTGTGAGGCCACACAAATAAAGCACGTGACACCATAGGTACTTAGTGAAAGGGTGCTTCATTGTGAACGTGAACCTTGGGGTGGGCTAATGGCAGGGGAGGTGGGATAGCGAGGTGGGATAGGGTAGTAAGCAGAGAAGTGGGTTGAACTCTGAGGTCGTGATACTGGGGTTTATGGGGTCAGTGAAGGGTGTGGAGAAGAGGGAGGGTAACCAGATGCCAGAGGGCCTTGAATGTCAGACAGAATTCACATTTCCGAAAGCAGTATGGAGCCATAGCCAGCTTGGCTCAGTGGATAAAGTGACAGCCTGTAGACTGAAGCGTCCCGGGTTCAATTCCGGTGACGGGCATGTACCTCGGGTGTAGGCTCGATCCCCCCGGCTGGTCCCGGCTCGTGTGGGAGGCAACCAGTTGATGTGTCTCTCACCTTGATGATTCTCTCTTTGTGTCTCTCCCCCTCCCTTCTACTCTTATCTAAAAAAATCAATGGAAAAACATTCTCGGGTGAGGATTACAAAAGAAAAGAAAGAAAAAAAGGCATCATGGAGTGCCCACTCAGAACCCTCTGTGGCTCCTTTCGGTCTGTAAGTTGGAGACCAGTCTCCTTTGTTGCGTCTCCAAGGCCTTGCCCACTGCAGCCACTGCGTGGACCCTGGCTCACTGCTCATCACTGTCTCCCAAACACACCAGACGTAGCCTCATCACTGCGTCTATGCTTGTGGGGTTCCTCCTGTCGGAGCTGCCATCCCTGCCTCTTCTCTGCTCATCTCCCCATCTGTTGAGGCCCGACTCCAGTCATAAACATCCCTGGATTATCCAACCTACTGCTCACAGCCCTCTGAATCTTTACCACTTCATAGTAACAGTAATAAACAGTACCTACCATTGCCCCACATTTTACAGTTTGTAGAATGCATTCACATACTCATTAGTAACACTGTGATGGTAATATTAACAGTAGCTACAGCTCTGAGTACTTATTAGGAGCCAGACACTGCTAAGCCCTTTCTGGACGCACTCATCTGCAACTCGGGGAGGTGACTGCTGTGGTCTCCAGAAACGGGGGCTCAGAGTGGTGCATTATCTTGCTCAAGGTCACAAAGGTCAGACTGAGGGGCGTGAGGAGTCAAACCTGTGCTCCTATCTGGGACTAAACAGACAGCTTGACAGCTTTTAGAACAGGGGTCCTCAAACTACGGCCCGCGGGCCACATGCAAATACACATATTGTATTTGTCCCCGTTTTGGTTTTTTACTTCAAAATAAGATATGTGCACTGTGCATAGGAATTTGTTCATAGTCTTTTTTTAAACTATAGTCCGGCCCTCCAACGGTCTGAGGGACAGTGAACTGGCCCCCTGTTTAAAAAGTTTGAGGACCCCTGTTTTAGAAGATATCCTGTCTCCTCAACTGGGGCCAAGTACCTTAAGAGCATACCTCGCATGTAAAAAGCTTGGAAATGAGCCTTCTTTTCAAAGCTAAGGAAGGAACCCTGAGCTGGGCATCCAGGGTCCCGGGCCCCGGACTGGCTGGCTGTGTGACCTGGCGAATCAGCCCTGCTCTCTGGTCCTGTTTTCCCACAGGTGAGGGGGGTGATGTCCAAGCTCCCAGCGCTCCAGCTTCTGCAGTGTCCTTCGTGGCCCTGGCGGCAGAGGAGACCACAGCACCAGGGCCAGAGGATGTGGTGTGCTGGGCGGCTGTGATTCTTGGCCTGGCTGCTCTCAGGACAGCAGCCTCTGTAGTTAGCTGCTGCCTTTCCCGAAGAAGGGCGGTGCCTTGTGCTGCTGGCGGCACGGTCATTAGCAGGGCAGAGAAGACCCTGTGAATTGGGAGCAGCTGGGCCAGGCCAGGTTGGCAGTGCCGGAGGCAGGCTGGCCCGGCCACAGTGGGGTCATTGGCGGGGCAGCTGGCAGGGCAGCCGCTGCTCCTCCCTTTGCAGCCTCCAGGGCGGTGGCAAGTACCCACTGGGCACCAGAGCTCTGTAGGCTGAGGCCTGCCCTTGCTCCTGTTTCGGTGGTCCTGGGAGTGGAGCAGAGGAATCTAGCCAGGCCCCAAGGTGCCTCCTCCTAGAAGCTTGCAGGACTCCTCCCTCGCAAGTGGAATCCCACCCTCCTCCTCTGCAGATCCATAGCCCTCACTCACTCACTGTGGTCTGTGGATTGG